CCCCCCCTCCAGCAACAAGTTCGAACGCAGCCCTTCCCCATTCCGTATCTTTATACCGAGGAATCCTTCAAGACTGCAGTCTGGGTCACAGACTGAAAGCACCGAGTAGTTTCGTTTCTACAGGGCAACGATGGGATGCATTTAGGGTTAATTAAGAAGGTCAGTTGGAGATATAATTCAAGACTGGCACTCTGACCCGGACACATTTTGCACAATTTGTCTTTTCCAAAAAAAAAAATAGTTTTTAGCCGAAAGCCTCTCTAAAAATTTCTTTAACAAGGGCTTGGCAGCCAGACTCAGTTCCTAGACTAGTACCCTCTACTCAAGTCTCCCCTCATCTTCTCCAATCAGCCAGGCTACTAGGTTACCTAATGTCGAAATATTTAGCACTTTAAATCTAACAGGGGCTTCACAGCTACTTTGCAACCACTTCAAAGTCTTTGCAACCATGACCATACGATGCCAGAATTAGGCCAATAACTGCGAGAAGCTAAAGTCCGAACAGCAAATTATAAATCGGGACTCACATCTGGCACCTGGGATTGAAGGCAGCACTTGGCTATTATTCCCACTGTGTGGTATTAAAAAAGGCACATTATTAACTTGTGGATAAAGAGAAAAGGATTGTATAGTGTCACGTTCATCGAAGTTCTCTGACAGAGTGCGAGATGAACAGAATTCAGGAGGGGAGGGCAAACAGCAGCCTGCTCATTTCCTGTTTGTCTTCCAGCTCTACTGTAGAAAAATCAGTGACTTCCTGTTATTTTCCGCCCCAATTGATGATGGGTTCCAATAGGAAAATGTGACAGTTTTTGCCATCTGCTCCCAGTGTTTTAACTGCTCTTTCTGGTGATCCTCCTGGGATCACAGCCACACGTGGCTGCTGTGTAATTTTCTTTAGACAGGGACTCTGGTCAGAACCCCTGGGCCGTCACTTAAGTCGCCCTGCTGAACGCTGAACTGGGCGGGATACTGGAAGCGGTCAACACCCAGACCGCTGGCCAATACTACCACTCCAACTTCACCAAGCCCAACCCGGGCAACCCGCAGTCGCAGGTTTCCAGGGCCAAGCCCGGCCTCTCGCCTCAACTCGAGACAGCTCGCTGCTGAAAAGGGCAGGGCCAAGCCAGGAGGACATTTCAAACAATGAAGTTAAGTTCATGAAGAACAAGTGCTTCTTAAATTTGCATCTCTCTGAATAACTGAAGACTCCAACAAAAACCTAAGCGACCCACAGCACCGAGGACTTTCTGAAGGGCTACATGCTGGAATGTGAAGATTTACACATCAGTGCAAGTATTCAAGTGGTTTTAGATGTGGAACTAGATTTTGGTTTGTAGTGTCTGTACATCAGCCCTTTATATCCGTTTTTTAAAAAAATCAATGTCCTCTGTGAGGACCTGCAGGTAAAATGCTATGCATTTGGTCAAGAGAGAATCGGCTGAACAAAGAAACACGCGCCGGAGTGGCACAGCACAGATGGGGACGCCACAAATTATGAGGAAGAAAAGCAGAGAATACTCTTTCCGAAATAACTAGACTCATGTGTCACGTGACTTCCTTGCCCCCGTTTCGGGGAACTAACTAGCACAGCACTGTGGGAAACCATGGCCCTGAAGTGATGGAAAGGAAAGGCTTAGTCAAGAGAGGCAGCGACTTGGTCCGTTCACAGCAGTGGGTCGTCACCCTCACTGACCGTGCCATGTGATCTGCGTCCAGCCTGCCATGCCAGGAGAGTCATCATGAGTTCAGACTCGGGGTGTTCGTTCCAAGAACGAGGTTTTTGTTACATTCCTGTTCCATGTTTGAAATGCAAATCTTACAGCATCTCTTAAAACCACAGCTGAATAACTACAGTGTATAGAGACGTGTACTGCAGAGTGAAGATTATGTATATGAGCCTTGGAAAGGATCTGAAATAGTGAGCAGGCACTATAATGAAGTGAGGACAGAGGGAAAAATCGTACCGCAATATTAAATCCTTTAAGTCGGATAACATTTATAATGTATGTAAATAAGCAGTACTTTATAGACACTATTATGCAAGAATAGTGGGTTAATTTGATTTTTTAGGACATTTATTTTTTCTATTGTGTTAATTTACTGCCTTAATTGTTACTGTACTGCCTATAAAAAAAACAGTCCATGATTTCAGTTTTAAAGCCTTTCGTTTTAAAATTTCAAATAATTTGAAATGACTTCTTGAAGATTCGTCATCTGCAACTCCTTCACTAAAATAAAAAAAATCAACAAAAACAGTGATTACCTGTTCATTCCCGTGAAAAGGTTTGGATCAGGGCTGTCAACGCCACTGAAGAAAAGTAACTTCACTTCCAACTTGTTGAAGCATGGAATGAAGTGAAAATCGGAGCTCCTCAGAATGGAGAAAGGGCAACTAATCCTGTATTTTAAATGAAATTGTGATCTTGCTCTCTCTCGTCTAGCTCCATTCGCTAACGGCTTTATCCAGGTCAGGGCAAGGGCTGAAGCATGTCTTTGGACTGTGGGAGGAAACCCACACAAACCTGGGGAGAACATGCAAACTCCACCCAGACAGCACCCCAGGTCTGGAATTGAACCCAGGGCATGGGGAACAAACTGCAGGAGGCACTTAGATAGCTTGTATTATAATCTAAAACAAATTAAGAGCAAATTCATAACAGTGGATTAATTATTAATCATGAATCTAAAAAAAATCCAGTATTAACCCATCTATTTTGCACAATACTGCAGGGAGGGGACAAACATTATACATATTTGTACACAAATGTACATAAGGGACTAGCTCCTCATCAGACAACCTGGCTGCGTAAGGCTGTGATCTGCATAAGCAGTAACGAACAAGAACATGTAAAACGTTCTTTTAGAGCTTGTTGATGTTTATCCTTTATGGAAGCAGGGTGAATATTTTAAACAAAAAAAAGACTATGTATATTCAGAAAGTTTAAAAGGGTGGGTGTGGCACCATGGTTTATAAATTGTTGGTTGTTGATGTTCTTTTTCCCCCAAACCAAAAATATACAAATTTTTATATATATATATTAAAACATAAAAAATATATTCTGTTCTTGCCGTTGCTGTTGTTGTGGTAGTTAATAATAAACCATAAGGATTGTGTTTCCCTTTGAAAAGAATGAGATAAATCCAGCATTGTGTTTCTCTCTCCCCTCTGAGTGTCTGTCTGCACATCTGGAGGGAAAGAGAGAGAGAGGGAGGGGTTACAGACACACTGACTGACATGACACTCCAGTACATGAACACTGCACTGAGAGAGAGGGGTTAATACAGACACACTGACTGGACACTCCAGTACATTAACACTGCACTGAGAGAGAGGGGTTAATACAGACACACTGACTGGACACTCCAGTACATGAACACTGCACTGAGAGAGAGAAAGAGAGAGGGGGGTTAATACAGACACACTGACTGGACACTCAAGTACATCAACACTGCACAGAGAGAGAGGGGTAAAAGGGTAACTGCAAAGCTATCTTCATATTTCAGGGTCAGAAAATCAACATTGACAAGTGCATTTCACAATGTACTCTTGTAAAAAAAACAACTCCCATTTACATCACAAAACAGATGGAACTTCCAGGTCTGCACAGCGAGGGAAGCGGATCAATGATACTGTAAACAAGCAGGCTTGTGAATCTACCTTTTTTTTTATCTAGTAGAAATATTGCTCTCAACTTCAAGACGGCTTTTCCAACAAACACTGCTTACTTCTTTACTCTGCGTGCAGATCACGCTGGAGCATTTCTGTGGTGAATATCTGCTGCACAACGGGTACTTATTCACTCGTCCATCACATTACATTATTCATTACAGGGGACTAGTGAGCAGGAAGGGCTGCCTCACGTCACAATTCGTGGGTACTCTCACTATCGCCCTTGACGAGAGCAGGTGTTAACAATAACATGGCGACTTGGGAGTATTTTTTACAAAGTTCGCGATTGTGTTCTTAATTCGGAATCTGTTCTGAAGGGAAAAACAAAATGGTTATGGAGGTTTAATAATCGGTCAGAGAAATCGGGACTGCAGTTCCCCTTTAATATGGTACAGACACAGTGACTGGACCCTACAGCACATTAACGAGGCAGAAGGAAGGAGACAGACACACAGAAAGGCTCTTGTTCACCTGCCTACTGCTCCTTCTTCTCGCTCCCTTTCTTCCTGGGCACCAGCGCCCGGCGGAGGTAAGGCATGACCAGCAGGGAGGAGAGGAAAAGGACATGGCCGCAGAAATATATAGACGTGTACACCTGAGCCACAGAGAAAGAGCATCAACTCTGCATTCTGACTGTCCACACCCCCCTCCCCGCCCACTCTCCCCCTCCTGAGGGAGCAGGACAACAGCCCACCACTACACCGCCAACACTAAGGGAAAGGAACTAGAGCTGCGCCAGTTTATACAGGTTAAAAACTACAACTCCCATGAGGCCTTGGGGGCGCTGGAGGACAGTGAGCGAATCAAAGGCATCCGACCCCAGCGGGAAAGCATTACCTCAGGTAATTAGACGAAGGAGACATAGGAGGCTTGGTCTTCAACCCAACAAACGGGGAGAAGAGCGGCGCGGGCTTTTTGAGCGAGCGAGTTGGAGAAAGGAAATAGTTTGTCGATGCCAGAGTTACATTTCCGGAGAAGAAATGCGAACCAACCAAAATCTGCGAACGTCAGACAGGCTGAGGAACACGATTGTAGTTCAAACGAAAACCCGGAAGGAGGAGGAAAG